TATAGATTTTTTTTCTCTTATTTTTAAAAGACTGAAAATTTAACAAAAGAATATGAAAATTTAAAACAAATTAATGAAACATTAAAACAAGATTTTCAAGATTTAAAAAATAAATATAATGATCTACAAAATGAATATAAAAAATATTCAACATCAAATGAACAATTCAAAAATACAAATGATAATATTATTAATGAAAAACAACGTCTTAGTGATCAATTAACAAAACCAATCAATGATATGCAACAAGTTCAAGTTGAACTTATTGAAAAACAAATTAATCAACATGCAGATTTTGAACGACAACATTTAGAAAATAAACAAATTCATGAGAAATTATTAAAAGAAAAAATTGTTGAATTTGAATCAAAAATACAACCCATGAAAAGTAAGGTCGTTTTAAAAATAAAAGCTGTTAGCACAACTCCTGCAGGATTAAAATGTGAAAACACAATAGAATTGTTGACATTGTAAAAAAAAAAAAAAGGACTTCATCGACATAGATTTCGATCTGTGATTTAAATTCAACTATGTTTCATAATAAATCTCGCAACAGAGTTCGGTCTAGTGACTATGCTTAGTATAATCTATGTAAAGAGAGTTGCAATACTTTTACTATCTATCGTGGTCTGTGACAAAAGAGAGGCATTCCTAAGGTGTCAATCACCATCTGTGATAGTCGGAATGAATCTCAATTTTGCAATATTTTCATTTTTTTTCCAACGGTTTATTGTTTTTGTTCATCCATTCCCAAAAAACACTCAGTATTTTATCCAGCATGAGGACGACGCCCTCCGACGATCGTTCTTCCGGAAGAGAAAAATCTTCCAATCGGCCTTCTGAGCCATCAATCCTTTCCTCAATCCAAGCAACCTCGGAATTCTCCTGATGACAGTCCCTTAGTAATGTCCGTGGAGACAGGAGATTCAAACTTCTACCCTAATACTTCAATACGCCTCTTAGATTGTTGTGTTTGACAAAATCAATATTTTTCTAGGTGAATATCTTATTGAAATTGAAAATAGTAATCTTCAACATGAACAAGAAAAAATACGTTTAAAACATCAACTTCAACAAGCACTTCAAAGTAAATAAGTTATTTTCTAAATAATAATTTTAAAAAAAACAGAACAATTATTTTATTTATGTTTTTATTTTAATAGATGAAGATAATCAATCAATAACAACTATTGAAAATCTTTCAAATGAAATTTTCTTCGAAATATTCGATTATCTCGATTGTTATCAAATATATACAACATTTTCAAATCTCAATCATCATTTTGAAGAACTTCTCTATTTTTCATCTTTATTGTTGAAGGTTGAAATTAAATTACCACAGCATGATGAAATGTCCATGGTCGGTTACCGACGATTTGTCGATATGAATACACATAAAATACTTTCCCTTAACCTATTATTGCGATTAGATAATGATAATTTTTTTTCATCATTTATTATCAATTCATCATTAAGCCATTTGGAATCGCTATTCGTTGATGGAATACCATCTACTACACTTATCAAACTTCTTATGAATTTAGTTTGTTTGCTTCGTTTGTTGTTTTTAACTATTGATACATGCAATACTGATGGACATTCGAACAACATGTATTAACTACTCTTTGCTTTAGCATATTTAAAATCAAATAAATTGACTCTGAATGAAGATAATAATTCGTTTAGACTTCCTATGGCAATAAATGAAAAACAAAGTACCATCGAATATCTTATTATCGATCATTCTTGTACGTTAAAGGAATTCTTTATTGTTCTTTCATATACACCACATATTCGACGTCTTAAGTTTTTACCGACGAATAATGTTGATCCAAGTATTCGAAGTATCTTATCAATAAGATTATCGAATTTAACACAACATATATTGATTGAAATATATTATGTAGAATTCATTTATGTTGAAATGTTCATTAAAAAAATCTATTGTCAATTAAAATATTTATCTATTATGATTCAATCTCAAAATATAGATTTTCTTAATGCTAATCGTTGGAAACAATTAATTATAGAATCATTATCTCAATTACAAAAATTTCATTCAAGATATGATGAAGATATTAATGATGAACATGGTTATTCTATATATCCTGTTCAACCAAATCAATTTATTTCATCGTCTTCCATTGAACATCAATGGATACTTGGAATTGAAATTGTTGTTGGTAAACCTATCTTGTATACAATTTATCCGTATAGGTATATCGAGAAGATCTTTTTTATATGAAAAAAAAATTATATTATGTCTTTTAGAAATAGATCGTATGAATATTCACAAGATAAACTTGTTGATTGTTTTGTTGAATTTTATCAATCTACTCAATGAACAATATTTAATCCTGATTCTCATTATCATCATCAAACAATAACAATTGATATTTGACGTATTTTAACTATAGCACAAGTTTATCATTTAGAAATTACAGATAAAAACGTGTTTATTGGTGTATTAATTGAACTTATCAATATATTACCTAAACTTAATACATTAAAAATTCATTCATTATCATTATATAAACCAAGAAAGTTGAATGTACTTGAACATCGTGTTATTCCTTCAATAAAAAACATAAAATAAAAAATTATACATGGAAAACTTATTCGATTTTGAAGAATTTCCTTTTCTTTTGGACATTATTCATTATATGATATATTTCAAAGTCAATGATATAAATGATATGGATATTGAATCTGCTGTATGAAATATTATCAAGAACATCAAACATGATTATAATAAATACCTTCGTTTATTAGATTTTCATGTTCCAACAGCAAATGATGAAATAATAAAAAAATTAGATAAAATGATTACCCAGGTCGAACAAGCACGGTCGTAAACGACCGTATACGGAGAAATACGACGATTTACATGTGATCGTATTACGATCGTATATCTCCGTGTCGTATACGGAGCAATACGATCGTATACGGACGAAAAAACGGTCGTTTACGGAGACAGTAAACGGAGGCCGTATACGATCTCCGTTTTGCTCCGTTTTGCTCCATATACGGTCGTATACGACCGTATACGGTTACAGAGATATACGATCGTAATACGATCACATGTATTACGGCAAAACACGGTCGTAAACGACCGTATTTTTCCCGTATACGGCCGTATACGATCGTTTACGAACTCCGTAACGTTCGACCTGGGTAATAATGAAAAATTGATATTTGATTATATAATTAAACATGTACTTGATTGTATCCATTTACAATGGAAATGATGTAGTATTTATTTATCTATTTTTTTGTAAAAAGAATTCTTTAATAAATAAAATAAAATATATTGTTAAAATCAACATCAATATATGATTTTTTTTTTAATTTCTTTTTTATTTGTCGGCATATATAAGGAAGGGAACATCTCTTTATTTGAGTAAATTTTCAACAAAATATCCAAACAAAAAAACCTACGATGCATAAATATTCGCACAAATGTCGAGGTTTGTTCTGTTTGAACCAGAGATGTCCATAGCACCGCCGCCGCGGCAGATTTTTTTTATAGATTAGCACGGCGCGGCAGATCATTCATAACGGTGCCGCGGCAGTGGCGCGGCAGCGGCTTTTCATTTTTTTAGCCACCGCGGCAGCATCGCGGCACGATTTTTTTGCACAAAATTTACTCTATAATTCTAAAAAATTTCCAGCTTCACAGCTGAAATTAAACTAGTCTTTCACATAAAGTAGACAAATCAAATTCTTTTTCTAAATGTTGCATTTTACGGTGATTTTAAAGTGCAGAGACAAATAAACGCTTTAAGCTTATCTAAGTTAATTACGTTGGTACGAGAAATATACTGATTACAATATGAAAGTGTTTATTGTATTGCCTTACGTCTAATAGATATTTTTAATATCATTTTCAGTTCATGCTTTCATTGCTAAAATCTTTTTCCATTCTTTTTCTGTATTAAAAATGGCAATCATGATAAATAGTCGTAATTAATCTGTTTGTTTTAATGTTACTTTTTTATTTTTTTGCAGATTTAGACCTATCAAACTATCGCAAACTGAAAATGAACAACAAGAGTTTATTAATATCGTGCATATTAATGCATTTTATAATTAATTTTCTTCTTTAAATTAGAATATAGAAAGGCACATGACATGATTCTTTGTAGGTTTTAAATCAATCATTTTCATGTCATACATTTATATGATTATACATATCGTAAATATTTAGATTATTTGCTTAAATGCTAGTAAAATATACTTGTTCTATATATACTTAGAAGTTATTTGTTACTATAGCATCTAAACCGTTATTCCTCATTGATTTCGAGTGAAAACCAGACCGCATGACTATTGTAGACCGACAAATGGCATTTTTTCTTCATATAATGATAGTAGCGGTGCTGTAACCTTTTCTTCAAATATCGCTGCAACAACGGCAATGTTTTTAGTATGTTGAGATGCAGAAGCACCGCGGCAACATGTATTTTATATAATACAGCGGCGCGGCTGCTTTCGATTTCATACCACAGCGGAGCGGCAGCGGCGCGGCAGCTTTCAATTTCATACCACAGCGGAGCGGTAGCGGCGCGGCAGCTTACACTTTTTATATCATCGCGGCGCGGCAGCGCCGCTGCGCCAATGGATGTAAAAGACAGCGGCGCGGCAGCGGCAGGTTTTCAGCCGCGATGGACATCTCTGGTTTGAACGGAAAATGCTACAAGTCTAACTTTTTCTCTCATGAGTAGAACAAAGTATGCACTTTAAAATATATGTTTAGAAATAAAAATCTAGGAAGTAGTTTTGATTTTTCTAAATCACTAAAAATGGTTTCTTAACCAAGACAAAATTAAGTATCCTTTCAAATCTTTCCTTTAATGCTTTCTAATGAAATATAAATTTTGACAAGATGTGTTGGTCTACATTGGAAAAAAGTTCAAGTCAAATGGATTTAATCCTTTCGAGTTATGAAAGTATTTAATAACATCGAATTTGCTACTAGGTGTTATTTTATAGGCATTCTCTGTACCATAATTTACGAGCTCAATAGAATACGTTTTTAAGAAACACAATTTAACAGGAGCGATGAGATACAGGGGTAGAAATTTGGATCCGTCCCTACAGGGATGTGACAGACATTTTAGCAACTCTACCATATCACAGATCGTGCCAGCTACATTAGTAACTTTTCTATGTTATGATGTGAATAGCTCATCATGTTTCACATTTGAATCTCGAAGGGATTTCACTCACAGATTTTCTTATGTTTCATACATATTCTTATATAGTAAAAAAAGGTTGTATATTTTGAATCTCTTTGAAAATTTATCTTCTGACAAAATGTATAAAATTTTCATCAAAAATCATGAAATCTTCTGGTTCTGCTTTTAAAGCTAATTACTGAATACACATAATGGGAAAAAAAATGTCATACGTGTTTGAAGTATTAATTGTTATCTTATGTCCTCGACTCACTTATAGATGAATATTCTCATTCTCTAATTCATAACTGATTTATCATTTAATGTTATATTATCAATCAATGGTATTCAGCAGATTTTATCCTGATGTTCTCAATCCAAATCATTTCAGACTTGTGCTCGAAAGTATAAAAATACAGTAGAATTATTTGGTTGTTCTTTCGTTTCGAAAAATAATGATCGTTATTCTTTAATTAAAATATATCACCAAAATCATTGAACAAATTTTACACTTTACTGTCATCTTTAGTTTTGTTACGAGTTCTTCGCATGCTTTGATATTGAAATCAAATGAATCGATAAAGCATTTCTGCCAACTCCATTATAGATAGACAACTAATACCAATCCAAAGATCTATTTGACCAACAACATCAGAGAGAATATCAACTGTACTCATTGTTGCTGTTTGAGTATAATTCTCGACTAGATTTGATTCATGTATGAGTTCTATCGAGAGATAACTAGAATCAATATGTGAACGCCAATTTGTTGACCAATCTGTAGGTAAAAAAATTTCGGAATTTTTAACAAATCGTTTAATATTATCTGGTATCCCACCGACAGTTTATAGAAAAAGAGGAAAAAAGAGGAATTTCATTTTCGAAAAAAAGAGGATTTTCAATAAAAAAAAGAGGAAAAAAAGAGATGCATCATTTTGGCTTTTAAAACGTAAAAAGGGCTGCCGCGAGGTGCAAATAACTAAAAAAAAAGGAGCGCTGTTACTATAAATTCAATACAGACTCCAAAAAAGTTGAAAAATGAATGCGATTGGTAGTCGATCACGTGTGTGATTTATATATTAAAATGAATTATTTATATATTAAAATGAATTATTTATATAAATACATGAAACTTAGCAGTTTTTTACGGTTGACATTAGTCTTACAGCACTGTGCACGATTACTCATTACAGTTTATAAGAGTGGTGAAATCTATGAAAGAAAATAATAAAAGAAATATGATGCATAGAAGTGACCTTATCATTACAAATACGATTAGTGCCATTTCTAATGAAGAGACAAAATGACTGTTTAGTTATACACAGAAATTAAATTAAGCATGTAAAATAGTTAATAAAGATTCATTTTTATCTTCGGCAATGGCATCGTAGTTTTCATAGTTGTTCATAGTTCAATCAATCATTTTTTATTTAAGATTAAATTGCATTCAACTATCGCTCAGAAAATTAGTTCGAGTTCGATTTGGTTTTTTTAGAAGTCAGCTCTGGCTGGCTTCGGTTCGAGCACATTTCCAAAAAATCTTTTCGAGTTTGTTTGCTTTTCGCTCTCTAGTACATATCGCCAATCATTGAACAAGAACATGATCAAAATTCAAAGGTCGTCATTTTTGAAAAAGAAATCACAATAAAGACAATTTAACACGATATAATTTAATAGTTTGATATTTGAATAAGAGAAAAAATTTTTCAGTTGAAACACTCATTGGTCATATGAATTTTGTTTTTCTTTATTCAAGTTCGACTAGAATTTCGAACAGCATATCATAGTGAAGTTTTGACTAATAAATGGTTAAATTCTTTAACAATATTTCAATCAATTGGTATGAAAATTGATTAAACTTAAAACAAATAAATGATAAGTTTTTTTTAAATTTTAGCTGAACATATTGTCATCCTTAAACATGACCTTTCTCAATTAATTCAACAATTAAAACAATGTGATCTTTCTTAATATTTATGGTCAAATTGATCGTCAAAAAACTCGAACCTTATCATTCTATGATTCAAGCACGTTTTCTCAATAGTCGAGTTGATATTTAAATAACAAGATTATGTTTTTGGTTATGATTTTCTACATATTATATTCAATAGATATAAATTCTGATTTTTTTTTTGAATAACTTTGATTGGTTTTCTCTCATCATTTA